AATCACAACGATTTATGACACACGTGGCAATGTAGATATACTTTGATCTTTTCTTTTGACAATATCTTGTAATCATAGGACATTGTTTCAAATGAAATCAAAATTGAAAAAACCCTTCAACAATTTTTTCATGAAACAAACGGATGCGAGTAACTTTATGTAAATATGTACATCTTAAGATCTGTTTAAGAATAAAACATCGATTAGAGTTTATTCACACAACTAAACAGAGTTTCAATAATAGTAAAATTTCATTCTTATTGTCTATATCTTGATAAAAATACAAGATATTTATTCTTGCTACTGAAAAAATGAATACATTTTTCCATTGATCTTCTTTGAATAACTTCAAAATTATATGCAAATACAAGATAAAAGTAAAGCAGAATTATTGATTTTCTTTATTTGTCTCGTTGCTGTTGGACTTTGTTTTCATTATCTCGAAAAAAAAACGGAACTTTGCAACAAGATTTGAATGAAAAACATACGACTCTTCGATCTTCACATCCTCGTGATACAAAATGAAGACTTTGCTAATAATCTTTTTTCCATACGAAGAGTAAATTGATTGTAAATGACTGTCATCTATCGAATTGATGCATTTGATAATATCCAATGAAATCTTTCAAAGCAATTACATTTTCGTCAATGATGTAAGACTCCAGCGACTCGAAGTTTGGAAATAAATTGAAACAATCCAAAAACACCAAGCCTTGTAATCTTGTTATTGATTTGATTTCTTTTTTTAGATTTTAAGACATATGAATTCGTACGGCGATTTTCACGATTAGGAATCTAGTTCTCAATGAAACAAATATTTTATACAGACTTAAAAGAAAAATCTGCATCGAATAGAATACTCAATATTATTGAGTATTCTATTCGATAAAGGTTTTTTGTAATGATTCTGAATATAATATTCGTTTGATTGAGAACTGAAAATATCAGAATATAAACCCGCTATTACATCGTAAAAATCGATTTTCTCAACAATGAAATAATATAGTATTGAAATTTGATGCTGGTGGTGTATTTGACTTTTTGAGCCTAATTTTCACTCCAAAAACATTATTCAAATGTGATAAAATTATAATGCTTTTCCTGTCTCTCTATAGATCGAGACACGAGTGTGCCTAATGGCAGAGGCATTATCCTCATCATTCGATCAATGGATTCGATCATTACTTAATGAATTACAATCCAATGATGCTGATATGAGTGATTTTGTTCAATACTTAATGGGTATTGTTACAAGTGACAGTGAAACAGATGAAGAAAAACAAGTAGCTATTGCCGAATTACTCTCTGATCTTGATTTAAAAGTAAAGTCAACATTTAAAAAATAGAATAATATATTATTTTCATTTATATTAGCATGATCATAATATTGATAATCTTAGTCAACAAATTCTTGATCGTTGGTATCAATTACAAAACACTAATGGTCACAATTCAAACTCTAATAGAAGTCAAATCGGTAATAACTCATAAAAAAAACTCAAAGTTTTTCGATGGTTTTTTCACTATAGAAAAGAATATGTATATATAAGCTTCTAATAATTTGTGCATTATCAAGTTCCACTGCCTATTGTAACCCGGATCCGACGGACATCAGTAAGCAATAGAACTTAGTACTGCATACACTATTAGATAGATGAAATCTTTTTCTATAAGCCTAGATATATCTTGTTCTTCAGCAAAAAGCTTATAGTCATTTTTATCTAATAATCTAGATATAGAAGAATAAAATTCTATGAACATTTTTGTAATTTTTTTAGGGACAAACGAAGATGATGATGCTATCAATAATGCATTGATTAATGCTATGAATCAAATGGAATCAACCGTAAAGCAACAAAAACAAACTAATGATCATAATTCAAATAAACATCACGATGATCTTGCATTAAAAAAACATAAATCTCAAGTATTAGCAAAATATTCTGAGATATCTGATGAAGAAATTGATTATGGAATTGAACAAGAAACAAATGATAATAATTTATTTCAAAATACAAATGCACAAGCTATTGAAGATCGTGAAAAAAAAACACGAGAACTACAACACGACGTAAAATAAATTATTTTTTTATTTATTAGAGATAAAAAAGAAATATCTTTATTTTTAAGGCACATAAAAAACAACAAGAAAAAAATAAAATTGATGCCAATAATCAAAAACAAAAAGATGATGAACGAAAAAAGAAAGCACAACAACGAGCTCAAAAACAAGAGAGACGCCGTTAAAATAAAACATAAATTTTATGTCTTCTTTTGTTTTCTTTTTTGAATTTTTATGTTCAAGAATATAAACATAATAAAAATGTTATTTAAATTTCAGATGAATTTACATATAACTATATTGAGTATCAGTGCTGATCATAATGATCATGTTTATATTGATTGAAATATTTTGATTAATTCAGTATTTTACTGTTGTTTTTTTTTTTCAAGTAAAAAATAACTCAAGAAAAAAGTTCTAAACATGTGCGATACACCAGCGACAGTTTGACAATTGTACAACAGGTTATCGGTATCCTTTACATAGGTGTTGTCTATCATAACTTGTTCCGTTATATTTTTTGTATCCAAATGGCATTATTTTATTAAAGAAGTTATTTTATCTGCTCTAGATATAAGAGAAACGATGAATTTATTAGTACGAACACTTGTCTCTCGGCAATCAACACTCTTCATTTGTCGTCGTCATTTAACCACACAAAAGTCACGTCGAGCATTTCGATCGACACTTCTACCAGATAAATTTCGTTCATCAATACCTTCATCTCCTCGTAATAATAATCAATATCCATTTGGATTTATCAATGAAAAAAATATTATTGCTGGAATCATTATTGTTAATGGAATTGTCTTTGTTACATGGCAATTTTCTTATGCAAATTTTCGAACAAATCGTGATCAACGTCTATTATGGTTTATGACAAAAAATTTTAGTATGTATTTTTTTTTGAAAACAAAAATAAATAAATAATTCTACATGTAAATTTTCAGTGGTATCTTGGGATGGTGTTGTTCGACAACATCGTGTATGGACTCTTCTTACTTCAGCTTTTAGCCATTTTGATTTAACACATTTTTTGATAAATAGTTTCGTTTTATATAGTTTTGGTATAACATTATTTTTCTTGTATATTTTTTTTTTGTTTATATATGACTATATTTTTATAGGTCCTCTTGTTTTAAATCACATTGGTTTACCAGCGTTTATTCAATTATTTCTTGTTAGTGCAGTTGGTTGTTCACTTGGTCATATATTTTATCAACGATTTTATGATCGAAGACCTAGTTTACCAGCTGTTGGTGCTTCCGGTTAGTTTAGTTTTCTCTCTATATATGCGCGATTTCAAGCAAAACAAGACGTACTCACGTGTGAATCTCTATTAAAAAAGAAATTAATAAATATCTGTATTACTATATAGAAGAAAAACATCAGAAAACTTGAGCATCGATCCTACAATACGAACAATATGTTTAGGTAAATTTTCAAGAAGACTCTTTTTTTTGAAAACTCGAAGCTTGTTCAGAAAAACTCAGGAGATGTCTGTATAATATAGTATTTATTTTTCAAAAATGTTGCATCACAGCGCAGTTTTTTTTTTCTAAATTCAAGTGCGTGAAGTAATGAATGATTTTGTTCATGCATTTTTATTTTTAGGTGTAACAATGGGAATGACAGTACTCTATTCATTTCTTCGTCCATTTGATACTGTTCTTTTATTTTTTATTGTGCCTATGCCAGTTATTGTTGGTGTTGGAGCATTTATAGCATACGATCTCTATCGAGCTATAACACATCGTCAAAAAAATATTGGCTCAGCAGGTCATATTGGCGGTGCTATTGCTGGTGCTTTGTATTATTTTTTAAAAATTCGTGGACGACTATAAGAAATAGATTTTCAAAGGAAAATCTACAATTTTGTTTTCTTAGTGAAAATTTAATGTAAAAAATAACAGCCATGTAAATTGAATAAATTATTCAAACCTGCAGAAATTATTTGTAACGAAAAAAAAAAAGCATCTTAATATCTATTTACTTTGAAATGTTGTTAACATATCATTACTTATACTTAAATCTATATGCTTCTAATTGGTAAATACTTGAGAAATAATTGGTTAAAAAATAAATGATATACATGTATATATATATATAGAATTGATTTTGTCAGCAAAGAATATAATAAGTTTGATCGGTATTTTTTTGAAAGATGCATTTTCTATTTATATTCTTCTCTTGTGTTATTTTATTTCAAGTTGACGTTTTTGCTCAATTAAGTTCAAGCTCTTGTTCTCTTCTGCGTACAGTTGATAGTCTAACGACTATACTACCAGAAATTGCTCAACTTGCTATGCGTTATTATCGTGCTGTATCATTTCCAACTGAACATCATCGACAAAAACGATTTTTATTTAATGAAAATATAAGAAAAAATGGTACTGCTAGTAGTACTAGTCGTGCTAAAGGTCGCATAATCGAACAAATGATTGCTAATACAGTACAAGATGTTAATTTTACTAATGTTGCAATCTCAATATTAAATAATAATGAAACAATGAATAAACTTCGAAAAAATATTGATAATGAAGCAATTATTCGTGTAATTTTGCATGAAATTGATTATAAAAAATTAGGTAGTGGTATATGGTCTGCTGCTGAAAATAATTTTGATTTAGAACATTTTATTGCCAGTGTTATTAATATAACTCGTATTGATAGAATTCATAGTGAACTTATTATCAATGGTACTTTACCTGAATGGCTTTTGGAAAGTATTCATCCGAATTTAAATAGTCAAAAAGTTCAACAAATATTTTCAATATTAAAAAATGTTACTCATAAATTTGTACGAGTTTTAAGCAAATCAGAACGATTTGATAATTATTTATTTAATATGATAACACAACAAGCTTTAAAACCATTGAATAATATTATTCAAGGTGTACAAGAATCTAAACCAAAAACATTTAATCAATTAATTGAAATTATTATTAATAACGTAAATCAAGTAGCTATGGTAAATGAGACTTATTTATCTCTTTGAAAGAAATGCTTTTCTTTTGCTGTCGTAATAGGAACAAATCACAATAACTACAAAACAAACAACAATGAAAGTATCTGAGAAGAAATCGACAACATCGACTATTGCAACAGTAGATCTTAATGATAGTAATGATGTCAAATTGATGCTTTATCAATGGTCCATTGCTCTCGATTCTATGGGACAAACAGTTCGAATTATATTAAAATCACTTGAAAGACTTTATTGTGCATCTTTATGGGAATAATAATTATTCAAGCTTTTCTCTCTACAAACAAGGATACTTTCAAAGTAGACAAATACGTTTCTGCTTTTAATCGTTTAATTAATCTTTCTCGTTTTAAATAAAATAAAATATTTTAAATGTTTGTATCATGTTTGTACTTCTTTAAATGCATCCAATATGATATGTAGTGGTACATATATATTATGTAAAATAATTGTATATCGATTTGTATCTTTTTTTTGACGAACATCACGTACTTCGAATAGTGTACCTGGTAGAACAAGTACTTCAGCTTCATTTTCATAAGCAGATAAACAAAGTAAATTTTTATCAGAATTATGTCGAAGATCAATAGCTGTACTGCATCGATGATCAAAATGAAATTCACAGAATACTCTATGACAATCAGTATTATTTGTTTTTTGACCACGTGCAAATTTATAGGCAACTTTGGAATTAACTGATGTTGATGTTAATGTTTTAATTTCAATTAATGTTCCTTGATTATGAATAGCCCACTTATATTCATCAATATCTTTAGTTGTCATTGATAGACCACGATAAGATTGACCTTGAAAAAATCGATTTTTGAGAGTTTCTAATTGTGAATAGATTTCAACAGTAAATATTTCAACATTTGAATGTAGAGCACGATAAAAATTTGTTTCAAGTGTATATAAACGAATGAGATATTCTATTTGATTTCGAGAACAATATTCATCAAAAAGAAAACATGCATTTTTATAATCACGATGATCAGATGGAACATTATGTTTTAATATTCGTTGTAATTCACGAGCACAATCATTTGATTGTTGTAAACTTGCAAGATAATATTTAATGATTTGTGCACGAATAATAAGTTTGATATCTTTACAGCGAGAATATTTACCAATGTTTTTATAACCATTAATCCAACCGTTTGGTATCTGATTACCATTTTCGTCTATTTTCCTTTTCGAAATTAATTCTAAACATTTATTATTAGTGTCATCTTCTGAAAATCGATTCATATCGGAGTCCAATGGACGTCGGAACAATGAACGAATTTCATCATTTGCAGCTTCTTCATATGGTGTCATTTTATATTTATTTATTAACCATGGTTTTGCACCATTTTCAAGAAGCATTTGTACAATAGTTTTATGACCATAAAAAGATGCAGCATGTAACGGACTACTTCCATTTGATTCAAGACAATTGATATGAGCTATATTTAGTTGAGGTAACATTTGTTCTACTTTTTTGACGTCACCATTGCGGCAGGCAACATAAAACTCACTAGGCATACTTGACAGAGTAACTGCATTCGTCGTAGAATAAGTTATACATGGCGTTTGTCCCATAATCAATATGATGTATTGTTATGACAACTTTTCACATGTAAAATTTCTTACTGGGGAAAAATTTGTATATAATTTTATAGAAATTCTGATGATTCATCAATTAATATATATATATATATTAGCATAAAATCCACTAAGCTTACTATTGTCATCATTGGATTCATATTTTGTTTGAAATGGTTTAGAAACAAAATACATGAAATGTTGTATTAAGGCTTAGGCAACGAGCAAAAAAAATCATTCGTACATCTTTTCTTGTCATTTAGAATCTACGTGCAAATAAACTTTTCGTAAGTTGATACTAATAAAAGGAAGCAGAAAATTATTCGATTTTACGTTCAGAACTCCAGCAGTTGTAGAATGCCTATCAAGCAGAATTCTATGTTCCACAAGACAAACTTTATCCGAGCTAGCGATCAAAGAATAGTGCAATTCTTTTCTGGTCTGTTTATATTCTGCCTAGAATTCGGTAGAATTCTGTATTATCAAAGACAACCTATTCCATTTTGGTCTTTTTATATTCCGCTCAGAACTCTGTAGAATTCCATGTTATCAGAGATAACGTATATATGTGTTGGTGTTGATTAGATTTTCAAATTCTGCTCTGGTATGTTAGAATTCTTCATTAGAATTTTTCTTCCTGTTGAAGATATATGATTTTGGTATGCCGATTGAAAGTTTGTATTCTGTTAGTCGTAACAGAAGTCTGTTGTTTGAGGGGTTGATAGGTTAGTGTGGTACTTAGTAGTTTATTCACTAATGAGAATTTATCTTAGTGAGCTAATCGACTGTTTACCGATCGAATTTTTAAATTCTGAATTCTGCAGTACCTACTGAACTCGTAATTTATTGTTGTAGAAATTGCCTCATTCATGCATCATGGGAAACTTGAATAGTCAACCAACAAGACACACGCCAGTCAGTATTTTCTATCTGGCATGCCGCTCTGGTGATATTGATATGGTAAAACGAATGTTAACAACAATGAAATTGAAAGAAATAAATCGTTTAGAGTCCAATGGAAGTACAGCATTACATGTTGCTGTTTGGTATGGTCATCTTGAAATTGTTGAATTGCTTCTTAAACATGGATGCTCGACTACAACCATTAATAAATATGGGAAAACTGCAGTAGAAGAATGTCGTGATGGACGAATTCGTCAGGTATTACAATCATCTCTAGTGATTTGCGATAATAATGAACGAAGAAATAATCAAGTATGTCAATTAAAGTGGTGGCAAATTTATGAAAATATAAATAACGAAGACAAATCTGTTCTAGCCACAAAGATAATGAAGTTACGTCTCACTACGTATTTAATCAATCAGTTTAAAACGAATGAAGCTAGTCGAATAGATCACATAAAAAAGATCGTTTTTCAAACTTACGATACAAATTATTGGGGACGTGATTCAGCAGTATTATCTATTCTTGAAAAATTTGAAAAAACCGATGATCTGAAGTATTTGATTATTCTTCTATCAAAGCTGACTCCTTTCTTTAAGTATATTTATCATAAAGAAGATGAAATGTTTGTTATGGAACTACTCATCGGTTTATCCGAGTTCAAGCATAGTTTTTTCGTCGGACGTGCTTATCGAGGAGAAATTCTAACTACGACTGAACTGGATTTTTATCTTTGGACATATCATCATCGAGCAAGCTTTATTGAAATGCGCAGAATTAAATGTGCAAGTAAATCTCGTTCAGTCGCAGAACGGTATAGTACGCGCTCTAATCTTTATGAAGATAAAATCAGTACACTTTTTATTATTTATTTCAATGAACCGTGTGAAACAGCAATAGATAACAGTGAGTTTTCCGGATTCCCTGATGCACAAGAGATTTTCATTATACCTGGTACATTTTTTGAAGTAACATCCGTTAAAAAACCGTCAACTACTAATGGTTCGTCTAATATGGCCATTATCGAACTGAAAAATATATCTGTATCACGTGATATTTTGCTGAAATCGATAAATGAACTTAAAAGAGCTTCTACGAGAACACCAGTCATAACTTCGATGTATGAGGCACTTGCTAAAATTTAATTCTTAGATTTTTTTATGTACATTCGAAATGTTATTGTGTAATAGTACTAAACCTTGATTTTTAGCTCATTTGAATTTACTATGGTAAAGTTAGTCTTAATCAATTTCAAGCACTATCCCTTTACTATCAAAGACAAAATTAATGGACTATCTCATACATGTGTACTAAGATTACATAATCAAAAATGAGAGAATTTTTTCATACGATACACCAAACGATAGAGCATATAAAGGTGAAAAAAAATGATAACAAGCGTTGGAAAGAAAAAGTTTAGAATAGATACACAGAGTGGCCTATACTTTCAGTTTCGAGGTGAATAGCCTAGAGGAAAACAACCTCGAGCATTTTCATCTCGCATAAATTAGAACTCTGTTCTGGAGCAAATGGCATAGTTTCTTAGAAAAAAGAAAAACATTTTTGACCTTCACATCTTTGAGGAAGGTAAGGGAATTTCGAGAGAATTTTTTTTCATGCAATTGATATGTGATCAAGCAGAAAAATACGAGTAAGAATGCTGATCATAATCATATATGATATTTCAAACAACTCATTCTTTTCATCTATGTATACTTTATCGTAGAGTGTATTGTATGAAAAAGTTCTCTCACTTCTATTCGTATAATCTTAATACATATGTATGAGATAACTCATTAATATTTGTTTTTGATAGTAAGGAGACAGTGTTTTATCCAAGTTCTTTATTCTGGAAGGACGACTTTAGTTGTTGAAAGGGCATGCAAAAACATTTTTTTTAAGAGAAGCTATCGTATTTACTATCAAGCCTGTTATAATCATACTTTTAATTCATTATCATTACGTTCTTTCCTTTTCGTAGAATATTTATCACGAGAATTTAGTTTCAACTTTTTTAAAAAAAATACTTTCTAATCTTAATATTGTTTGAAAGATAAGGTAAATAGAAATTATAGAAATATCCAAAAATTCTCTGTGATCTCCAGTCTATACAGAATGCAGTACCTAGGAAAGTTCCATGACTCAAAAATCTCTAAAAATGACACTCTAATTATATAAATGTGTATATGTATAATAAAAGGTGATACAATTTTTCACTTTCCTTCGACCAAAAAAAGTCATTGGATACAATGAAGTTCCTTCGAGAATTCATGACGGTGCATGCAATCAAAAACAACTTATTTTTCGAATAGCGAATGCCGGAAGTCATCAAAAGTTTTTGAAAAAAGATGGATTGCCAAATAAAAACTTTTGTTATTTATGAGAGATCAGGTCACCGACTATCTTCCTCTGTATTTATCTCAATTTCGATCATCCTGACGAAAAGTAATCTAAACGTGAAAAAGAAGCGACAATTTACAATGAACTAATTTAAAACTAATTGAGCTAAATGAAACATTATATGGTTAGATTACATGAACAAACGAAAAAGACTTTGCACTCGTTATTAATTTCTTCAAATCTATCTAAAGAAAACATCTTTAGAGAAGTTATATTGATCTTATTCTTTCTAAAACTTATTTACCTTCTCGGAAGGATGCCACTCTCATAGCCTTTACGCGCTGGATAAAACACTGATGTTAGAAGTCGATCAATGCTAACTTTACTATAATAAATTCGAATGAGCCAAAAATTTAAATTTTGACGAGTGCCTCTGGGTTTTTGGATGTTTTCATACACATTCTCCTAAATAAAAATGAATTATATGTAATTTTTGTACCGCCGGCGTCATTTTTTTTTATTAATAAATTTAGTCATAAACCATATTTGTATTACAATAAAAAATTATCAACTCTAACAACGATTTAAATATTTATCTTTGAAAAAATAAGGTAATATTGAAGAATGTTATAAATTTAATAATGCATTTCAATTTTGATTAGAGCTGAAAAACTGTGCAATAGAGAAATACAATCATCCAATATAAAAATGTTACAAGTCATCTTGTAATTTCTTTGATAAATATTTCAAGGTTATTCTAACAAATGAATTTTCATTTTGCTTGTAATTCAATACAACAAATTTTATTCTATTACTTATTGTAGACCGACATATTATTTTCTTTTTCGCAAAAACCTCATTTTTTTTATTGTCTTCTTACTTTTCATTCTTTCAAAGTCAACGATACTATAATATATCATATAAAACAACAATAGTAATGATGCCAAAGGAAAAACGGTAGTAGTCACTGCGCTATTTTTTTTTTCAACCACAATAGAAAAAAAAGAACATGTAAGACAAAAAAAAAGTATATTCATCAAGTAAATATCAACATTAATAGATAACGAAAGTTATGATGAATCCAAGACATTAGACGAGATGAAGATATTGGACAAAGTCACAGGTAACATATCCTTTTATATTTATATGTTTTTTAATTCACTGTTATCGTACAAGAAAAAAAAAGTGATGAGAAACATAAAAGAATCTGTTTGAAGTAAATTTCAGATTTCTTTTAGCAATAATGTGCACATGATACTAATCGATTTGTTATATATTGAATAGTATTCAATATTGTGTTATATTAAGACTTTCGTTATCATAAAACAGATAAATTGCAAAATAGCGCCATCTAGATTATTTTGTCTAAGAAAATAAATGATTCAAATCCTCTTTGGAAAATATTTTATCAAAGTAGAGAGAATGAGATTTTATTTTTTCAATCAATTAATTATACAATTATTGAAAATATACGATTTTAAGGTTGTTACTAGCAACAATCAATGAACCATAAGCGGCGGTAATTTATTGTTACAATTTTGAGACAAATGAATTTTTCTATTGATATTGATTCTAGGTAATAATCAATAATTGTATGTCACTATTATGGATGATATTAATCAAGAAATCATTTCTTCACATAAAGCTGAAGGTATCAATGTCGACTTGTTTTTGTTTGATCATAGAACATTTATTTTCTAGAAAATCCATATACAAGTACTCCAATATCTGATTTGAGTTCTAGTTCAGCAAAAACAGTTCGTGATTATGATAAAGTATGTAATTGTTTTAGAAACAATGAGAATTCTTCTTTTTTTTGAAAGTTAAATAGAAGTAGTTAAATTTCATAATTTTACTTATCACACTAAGTGTGTTCATTGTTTCCTTTATTAAGAGTTTACACTTCATAAGATTAGAAAAAAAAGGTTTTATTAGTTATTATCCTTTTTATTTCAGATTATTGAAGATCGTGTTAGAATAAAAAAAAGTTCGGGAATCATGCCTTAGGGCTTTCTTCTTGAGTTATGAGCATTCTAATGATTTTGTCGACTTTCAATTTTAGACTTCGTAAAAATGTAAATAGGAACCAATCGGATTAGTTCAACTAATCCCATTGAGAATTTACCGAAAGTTTGAAATCAAAGTTCAAAAGTCGATTTTACAAATGACCTAAAATAACTGACTAAAACTATAGCTCTAAGCAGAGGGTCGGGTGATCTAATAAGTGTTTTGCATGGATATTACTTTTAGAAATTGGACGATAATTAACACTTTATTAATTACCACGAGTTCGAATCGGATTCGGATAGCTATAACCGATAATTGGTAAATACTTTCACAGTCGTTTCTTTTTCTGTTTCTAAAATTCGATCAGTTTCGCTAAGTATCCGTTTGTTTGTTGTTGATGACGGTAGAATGAAGTACAATATTGGTGTTAAACGTCATAATTGTGAATACATACATATATGAGCGTAGGTAAGTGGAGGCGAGCGTAAATCTTAAGGTAATAGAGCGACACTCACACCCACATCCTATGCTTTTATATACATTAGTAGTTTGAAAAGTTAAAAACTTTTCGAAACATTTGAATTTGATGAATTATTTGGTCAGGTTCCAGTATGATCGCATACGAGGGATCTGAATTGACTCGGCGAGCTTGCACCCGGTTGTAGAACACCAATTTATTGTTTTTATCACAGAAATAAGTAGTAGTTCCAAGATGCTACAAGGACTGTTTAAAAACAAGATGAAATTCTGTTGCAGTCGTGTTGTTGTCTATTTGTAGTTCAGACAGTCCTCGATCCATAGGTGTTAGAAGCTCTGATTGATTAAACATTCATATCTAAATATAGCAATACCTTTTCGATCATCTTACTTATAATCATATAATGCTCCATCATCCACTATGGTGTTGAAAAGAACTGATTGTTTGAATCGATTTTAGTCATATGTAATTGATTACGTATTATACATTTGAAATACTAAAAGAATCTACTATTTACTAAATTGCGGTTTGAGGTTTTTTTTTTTGATGACTAAGCTTCTAAATATTTCAATATTTGTGTTGTCTAAATAAAGGATTATCGTCAATACTTAATTGTATATCTTTCAAAATGAAATTTTATTTAGAATTCGTAGAGTGATGAAATCTTGGTCACCATAAATTTTAGACATACATTCATGAATGTTAGATAGACATTGTTCTTCCAATACTAGAAACTTTATGATTAAAGAATTTTGAAAAAAAAAATAAAAAATTTTCTATCAGTATAAAACGTATTGCTATATCTGAATATAAATGCTTACTCAATCATAGCTCATACTGCCTATAGATCGAAAACAATACTAATATAATATAATTTCTTGTTACTTTTAAATAAAATAAATCTTTTGAATAATTATTCATAATCACTTTCGTTCTGTTTATTGATATCTGATAGCCTTGAAAGTTTCTCGAGTTTTAGTCAAGCTGTTTTTTTTTTTTATTGGTATTGAAACCAGAAAGAAAAAAAACAATCACTTAAGAGAAGGTAAAAGAATTTAAATGCGGTTAAATTTATTTTTATTATTTTTTTTTGATAAAAGTGTATCAGATAACCTGTTATAAATATAAAACTTTGATCTATCCGATAAATAATTCAATGAATGACCTTAAAAAATATTTTTGAAAAAAACAAAGAAAAAAGAAAATTGAATATCTTGTACGGTATCTTAAGATAGAATAAAATGAAGAATTTATATTTAATGATTATTACATTCCTTTTGTTAAGTCTACGATTGAAAGAATCTATTGAAGGTCGTTGAAGAAATAAGAAAGTTGATAAGAAACTCTAATAAATTGATTCAATATGCGAAGACGAAAAAAAAAAAAACATCGATGGGTAGTAAATAGATCAATGTTTTGAAAAGAAACCATTTTAGAATAAATAAATCACGAAAAAATTCATTATATTTATATGAATGTTGAAAATATTCAAGGATTTCTAAAAATAAAAGGAGAGATCTATATACATTTAAATCTTTTTTTTTTCTTACTTTTACTCGTTTTCTATGATTGTGTAGATGACAGATTAAAATCTCTCATATGAATCTTTTTTCTTCTATTAAAATATATTGACATATTTTATCCTTTTTATTTTCTAACGTGGGTGTCTATCGATTTATGTATATTTATATATTAACGTCATTTTACTTCGTTTTCTTCTTTTTTTTCAACCAATAACAAAGGCATTTTTGTTGCTTAATCTTGATGGTTTCTTTCTTTTTTCTTTTTTTCATTTATTGGTCTCAGTAAATCGTGTAACAAGCATTCGTCCGACCATGAGAAAACGAGAGAGAGAGAAGATATCTTAATGTATATGCGTACGCGTTTCATGCCTATAATGTGGTCGATATGGTAGTATAACACTTGAGAGATAAAATACAAGATGACAGACGAGGTTGGCTGCAAAAGAAAGAATTCAATTCTTAATAAATTAGCTAAATATTAAATATTATTTTAGGAACTTCAAGAACTCAAACGTGAAAATTTTAATTTAAAATTACGTATTTATTTCCTTGAAGAACACACTGAATCCGATACCAATACTAATGAATGTCAAACTCAAACAGTACAATTATTCTTAAGTCTTTTTTTTTTTCTTCTTTATTATCTATTTTCTTTTATTTAGTCGTATGTACAACAGTTACAAAATGAAATTGAACGACTTCAACAACGGTATGTTTTTATTAGAAACTAACATCATATATGTGCATGTGTCCTTCTATTCTCAAGTAAACTGACGTTTGATGAGGCAAAATGAACCTATTGAATAATGTGATTTTAAGATTCTTTCTCTCTCCTTTTTTTTTGCTCTCTCTCTCTAGCGCGAACAAAACTGTGCGGTTTGTCTTTGTTCTGTATATTTAAATGAATGTGGTACGGAAGCCTTAAAAGTAGAACAATGAGCCGTTGAAAATGAAGGAGAAATTTAAAAAGATGAAAAACGTCTGAAGGTGCTGAAATTCATTATTACACAATGGGTAATACACATTCGGCAGTGATACAACATGCAGTTGATAGTGAATTTAAAACCGTCGATAAAGGTTTGGAAACAAGGTGATCTATTATGTGTGATAACATGAAATAAATATAAAATAAATAGAAATTCTTTTTTTTCTTATATCCTTCAAGTATCATTTTTCTTTTTTATGTTCAATTCAAGTTTACTTAGCTATTGAACGTAATCATAGAATCATAAAAGTGATACTAGCACTTTTCAATTCGTTAAATGATTCGATTACGTTCAAACACTAAGTACACACGTGCAGCAGTATCTCAAGTACTTCTATTATAATATTTCTTCTTTTACGAATCTAGTATAGATTACGCGATTATGAATCAAAAGTTCATGTGTTCTATATTAGACATTTTTTTTTTGAACTCAACAAAATCTAAATCACAAAAAATAAAACATTTTTTTTTGGTTTATATTTAGCATTCAATCCCAATCCGAACAAACTGATAATCGTCAAACAGTCTACAGTTTTAACTATGATGATGAACGTTGTGCATTACACGAAGAATTGGAAAGAATTCGTCAAGAAAATGCAACACTTCGAAAATCATTTCAATTAAATAGTAATAAAACTAATGATGATGAACAAGAAAAATTAATAATAAAAACACCAGCTGTTAGTCATAATATTCAAACAGTAACGTCGTCAATTGATACAGATTTCAATATAACAACGCCTGGAATGTCAAATACATTTATAAATAATAGTAGTTTACAAGCTGAGCTTAACGAATATAAAGAACGAGAACGAAAATTGCAAGAACAAGTTAATTCATTACAAAAAGTAAGAGAAAGAAGCATAAGAAATTCATTTTACCATTTAATATATTTTCACAGCAACTCGAAATGTCGTTACCGCAAACAAATGAAGTAAAATGAAAAAAAAATAAAACTTACCTTGAATGAATAAATATTCATTGTTTTCGTTTGATTAGACGCTTACTGAATTAGATCGTGCTCGTCGACGACTTCAACAATATGAAATTGATATTAAAAATTATGAACAACAACAATCAAAATCAGAACGAGTATTACAACGTTTACAAGCTGATTATGAAGCTCGCATTGCTGTAGAAAAAAAAAAATTCTTTTCTTTTTATTTTATATTTTTATTTAACTTTTTTTTTTTTTTTTTATCTAATTAGACTTTGGTTGAACAACAGCAAAAACAAACAGCAGAATTTGAAACTTATCGACATGAGGTAAAATAAATTTTTTTTTTTTTAAATTATTTTTAGTAACTTTTTTTTGCAAAAAAATTTATGATTATTAAAATAGATAAAATACATTGTATTTTAGCCGTTACTCGCTCGAATTCGTGTTTCTTGTCCTCTGGTTTGTATTCACAATGCTTAATTATATTCAGCGCTATGCTTTTCTCTTATTTCCATTTTTCACTTTGCACTATGGTCATATGAGAAAGTAACTTTTACAGCAAGATGTCTATTGTGATGCTTTATAAAATACACTGATTTTTGATCACATTGACTATAATATGTCATTCCATTGGCATTTGCTTTTTTTTTTATGCTTTATATACAGATATATGATTTTAAGGCAAATGATAAAACAGCTACACTATTCACGATAATTTATTAATTAAAAAAAAAAATATGAAAATCGAATATTTTATTATGCTTGGGAACTATGTTTTTTATTATTGAAGAGAATAATTTATCAAGTATTTTTATATCTTATAGCATGATGAAACAAGTTCGAATATTAATATTGAAGAATATCGTCAGACAATTAATGATCGAGATCGGATAATTCAAGTATAAATTGCATAGAACACAATCAAAAAAAAAACCGATTTGTTTTCTTTTTTGAAATCTGATAGCAACTTGAAGAAGCCATCAATGAAATAACGATTCGCTTACGTACACCATTTACATTGATGCTTCCATCTCATTCATCAACATCGCAATGGACAGATGAAGTTAGTCTCTTTTTTTTTATTTTGATTTAACATAAATATATATATATATATATCTGTTTATAGCATAGTCAAAATTTAATTGATGAATTGAATTCTCAAATGCAAGCTCATCTTGAAACTGTTGATGTAAGAAAATTTATTTGAATTGATTCATATTGAAGAATATTTATTTTAGCAATTACGAGCTGAATGTGTTGAACTTCGACGAAGTGAAGCAAATCTAAGAAATCAAGTTGAAAGCTTAACTCAACTTATTAATGCACCCAATCGAAATCTAGGCGTATGTTTAAAAATAATTATATTTTTATACTAAGAATTTTTCATTAAATATAGTTACCTCCTTTATCACATCAGCCAACATCATGTTCCAAGGTTATTTCTTATTAATTCATAAGACTTTTATTTTTTATATATTTGATCGTTTAGACTGTTGATGTTATCGAAGATGCTCGACAAGTTCAAGTACGTTATAATCTATTTTTATTCATTTTTATTTATTCTTTTCTTTGAACAGGATCTTCAAACCGTAGTTGTTCAAATAACATTACAACTTCAAAGTGATGCAGAAAATGTATCCGGTTTAACAAATCGTGTTGCACAAATGATTCGAGATCGTGATGAAGTAAATAGATCACTATATGACACAAATAAATTTAAAAAGAATTCTAACCTAATCCGATCTCTATTTATTTGTATCTACAATTTCAGTGGAACCTACCAAAGACTAGAATGATGGTGAGGATGAGAACATAGACCCTACCAAATCATAATAGGCCATATGGGATCCTGGTATATCTCCTAATGGACACTAACAGCCTCTAATACGCCCTATTAGACCCTGATGAATCATTATAGATCTTAATAAATATTTTTAGATCCGATATGAATTTGATAGAGTTTCTTCGAATCATTAAACTTATATATATATATCTCGATAAATCCTATAAATGAATATCTAATTAAACATAGAGAAATTTTGTAATTAATTTTTCTGATGAATTGAAATTTAGTGGAATGATAAAATCAATCGATTACACGATGAAATCGAGAAGAAAAATACTCATATTCGAGTAAATATCATTTTTATTTTTTTTTAATATTTAATATCTTATTTCTATATAAAATAGCAATTAGAAAGACGTGAACCAGAAGTTGAAGGTCGTATTCGTCAACAATATGCATTACAAATTGAAATACTTCAACGTGATATACAAAATTTAGAAGAAGAAGTAAAAATATTTATTATTATTTTATCATTATTAAATGAATTTTAATATAAAGCTTAAACGTCGTGATCGTCTTATAAATGAAAAGAAAGGAACACAAACACAGACACGAAAAGACTATGAAAGATTTGATCAAACTAATAATCAAGTATGTTTGTTTATTGATTACTTAAAAGAAAAAAAAAGAATTTATTTACTTTCATATTTAGGAAAGAATAAATTTACAAGGTCAACTTCGAGTATGCACTTATCTACATATTAATTATTTTTATTATTTTTTCTTTATTCTAGACAGCTAATGAAAACATTATGAATCTTGAACAACAACTAGTCGTTGAACGAAGACAATATGATGATTTACAAAGACAATATGAAAAACTTGTATGTTTAATATTATCAGAAACAAAATAATAATCAAATAAGAATTGATAATTAGTTATAAAATTTTTCGATTGCTAAAATATAATTCGTTGTTCATTTAAGTATCTATTAATTGATTGAATTAAGTATTAGAAAAATCTTTTAAAATAAGAATTTCAATCATAATTATTACAAATAGAAAGTTAATATTAAAGTACAATTCGATAGGATAAGAATCTTCATCCAAAAATGTTGGATATAAAGTGCTTGAATGATAGCTAATACTTTAGAATTGTGTATTTTAAATAAAAAATCTTATTATTTTACAGAGAACATCACAAGTTGAACCATTGGAAAGAGAAATTCAAGTAAAATATATTTATATTTTTATAAAAAATTCTATATTCATTGTTTTTCTTTTTCAATAGTTACAAAGAATACAAATTGAAAAATTTAATCTTGAAATGCGTGAAATGGAAACGAAATTTCAAAAAGTAATTTGTTGTTTTTCTACATTCGTTTTCTTTTACATATCATTTCAGGAAAGACGTCAAATTGAACGAGATAGAGATGTAAATATCTATTTATTTTTCTTATATAACAAAAAAAAAAAACAATTAATCTAATTTTAGTTTGAAAACGAAAAAAATATTGAATTACAAAATACATTAAATCTTACAAATCGACGATTTAATGAAATTCAAACTGAATATGATAGAGTAATTTTTAATTTATTTTAATCATGATTTGAACTTTTTTTTTTTCTTTATACTAAAAGTTAAAACCAATCTTTGATGAACAACGAGGTCAATACGAAATTCAAATTCGAGTAAAAATTTCATAATACAACTAAAATCAATATGTTTTTTTTTTTTGTATGTTTTAATTCATAGATGTATCAAAATCAAATAGCTCAAATAGATCAAGTAAGAAAATCTTTCTCTAATCAGTATTATCCTAAAGAGAATTTGCAGGATGAAAATTAACAGGAATATAAAAATAATTCAATTTTTATTAGAAATTTTAAATAGTTTTTTTACACTTACTATGTTTTGTCATAAGAAAATAGAAGTGAAACATCAAAAAAAAGCTCTATCGGAAATTATATTTTTTTCAAACTACTTCTTTTCAATGATTAAATCTATGAGAATTCGATAATAAAAGAAATCGTGTAAAAATGAAGGAGTAGTGAAATCGAAGTAATAATATTTTTCAACCGTCACTGACGAGGGAACATTTCCAGGTGTTGGAACGCTTTTGAGTCGGGACTTTACGCATCTTGTAGGCCTTGATGAATTATGTCTATCGTAAAAAAAGCTCGTGCCCCTAGCTTGTTCCCAGTGAGATATCGAGGAATTAGTGGATTTTTCCTATAAGACCCCACATTTGCAGCAAGGTCATATTTTTAAATTTTGATCTGAAACTTTGCCCACATAAGCATCTCAGCTAGACTAGTTCGCATAAAAATTTTCAGAGCTTTTGGACAAAATCTCTCCGAGATATGAAGCTTTCAAAAAATGCATGCTTTATACGCTATCTATGGAAAACGGCCTATACGTTGAGAGCTTCATATCTCGGAGAGACTTTGTCCAAAAGTTCAGAAAATTTTTGTGCAAACTAGTCTAGCTGAGATGTTTATGTAGACAAAGTTTCAGATCAAAATTAAAAAATATGGCCTTGCTGCAAATGTGGAGTCTTATGGGAAAAATTCACTAAAACCTCGATATCTCACCAGGAGCAGGCTAAGGGCACGAACTTTTTTTACGATAGACATAATTCATCAAGGTCTACAAGACGCGCAAAGTCCCGACTCAAAAGCATTTCAACACCTGGGAATGTTCCCTCGTGTATTAATTGAACTATTGAAATGACATATTGTTTTTATTCTTCTAGGAAAGAAATCATACAAATGATGAATTACAAAATTTAAGACGTGAATATCAAGTAAGAAAAATTTTGATAGATTTGATTTATTTTTTTATGATAATATTCTTTTTTTTTTATCTTTAATAGGCTACTATAGATCGATATCGTGATGTTGATGGAAAAATTTTTGAATTAACAAGAAGAAATGATGAAGTAAAAGAAATAAAAAAAACTTTCTTTTTTAATGAATTCATTGTTCTATATATATTTTTTTAATCTAGTTAAAATCACAAATATCTATTTATGAAAAACGATTTCATGATAATGAAGATAATGATAAACGATATCAAAATGAAATAACTACATTAAAACGTGATATTCAAGATATATTACGAGAAAATGAAGTTTGTATTTATGAAATTAACATTAATCATTTATTGTAATTTATTAATAGGAATGGAAACGTAACTATGAAATAATAAAAACTGATTTAAATAGTGTAGAATATGAAAACGAAAAAATTATATCGAATTATCAAACTGTGAATCATGAAAATACTGTATATGAAATTGATATTTTATAGAAACCACAAGAATTTTTCTTTTTGTGTATTTATTTAGCAACTTAAACATGATATTAATGATCTTACAGTTCGAATTCGTCTACAAGTACAACAAGAATATGAAGAAGAAGTAATAACATAGTTCAATTTAATATATTTTATAAATATAAATTTTTCATTTTTCAGTATCGTCAATTAAATAGTCGTCGAGAAACTGAAATTCAAGTAGATAGCAAAGAAAAAAAAAATAAAGATCTTTGTTTTGATGAGTTTTGCTTATTGTTATAGACTGTTCGAAAAGAACAAGAAGCTATTCAAAATGATCTTGATCAAATGAGGGCAGAAAGAACACGTGTAAGTTGGTTTTCTAAAGAATTTCATCAATGAACAATATCATGTGGGTTTTTTTTTGTAAAATTTGCTTCTTTCTATAGCTTGCAGATCGACTGCAAACAGTAGAATATAATTTAAAACAAGCCAATGAAACAATTGAAGTTTGTATAATTAATATGTCTTATACAAATCAATCTTTTCGTTTTTTTTTTCTTTCTCAGAGCTATACATCTGATATTGATCGTCTTAACAAAGCTCTTAAGTTATCTGAAGGAAAAAATGGAGAACTTGAACGTGAACTATCACGATCGTATACCGAGGAATTAAAAACGAAAACTGATCGTATTCATGTATATTAAAAAAAAAAGAAGAAGAAACTTAATTTCTTATGTAATATCTATTTATAGGATTTAGAAAACAAATGTCAATCACTTGAAAAACAATTAAATCAAGTATATTAAATAATATTATCGTTTGTTTATTAATTTATTATTATTGCTTTCTATTCTCTTAATTAGTATGAACAAATAATTCATGATCTTCGTCAAGATAAAACAAAATTAGTTGAATCTTATGATCGTCTTCAACGTGAATATGAACAACAAAATAGTCATGTTTCTCCACAAGTAAAACATGAATTATTTCAAATAATAAAATTTTTCTTTCTTTATGTTTATAGACAAATTTAACAACAGTTGAAGAACGTGTTGGAAAAGAAGTTGTTCAAACGAATGAAAACAAACAGGAGTTGGTAAGAAAATGAAACATTAAAAGACATATAAACATAATGTCAATAGTAATTGTTCAGTATAAATGGAAAGAGTTAAACAACCTCTTCAAATATGTCGTTGTTTCTTTGTATATTCAATTGATTGGTTCGAATAGTAGAACAGAACAAAGAAAAAGAATGAAGAAAATGTAAAGATTTCGTTTTTTTTCCATTATTGCTTTTTTTAACTCATTTTCTCACCGAACACATTAACAATTACATTCTCATCTTACTTCAATTCATAAAAGGAAAAAAAAAACAATTTTTTAAAGACGAATTTTAAGTTAAGGTAATTGATAATTTTTAATTTAATCGGAAGATAAATTATGTCATTTTAAATAAAGAAAACTTAGCAATGAAATCGATAATAATGATTTAAATGTTCAAATTATTTTTTTTTCGTTCTTCTTCTACATTTTAATTGAGTTTATAAAACCATACGAGTATATATATTCTTTTTGTTGAATTTTTCATTTTGTCTTTAATGGACACAAGAAAGAAAAAAAGAAATCTGTTTTTTTGGTTAATAAAAGTTTTTATTGGTAGAATAATAGTAAATGAAAGAGTATTCATAAATAATTTCTATTTCTTTTAAATAAAACCTTGAGAAAATAGATGAAAGATTGACACTGTATCGGTGACTGATAGTGAGTTATTTGAAAAAATAAAGTTTAACATGACCCGACCAATTCATATAGTTGAAACAAAAAAAAAAAACTCTATTTGAACATTACAATTTATCCTTAAAATAAAAATAACTATAGTCGATTTTAAAATAATTGAAAAAATGAAAAAAATGAATGACCTTCCAAAGAATAAAATCAAAGTGTCTGTCTACTCTAAAAGATATTTTCAAAATATTCTTTAAAGAAGACATTAAAAAAGAACAGTTTTCTGTAATATCAATTGATAAAACGAAGAGAAATTTTATTCATCATCATTCTATCAAATTTTTTCTCTAAATGAATCTGTCATCAGACAAGGAGAAATTTTTTTTTTTTTAACATATATTACTTTCCAAGTCATTTTTATAATATACTCATAATGAAATTAGTAAATGCTTTTACATTGAATAACTTTATTACACACACCAATAGTCTGAATAATTTTAGTAGAGCTTTTTTTTTTTTTGTGAGCTAGAAAATACTCATAGAATAAATGGTTTAGAATGAATTTAATTATCGATGTAAAATGTATTCATAATTTCATTTTTTGTTTCAGTAATATAAAGATAATCGTTCATATATAAACAAAGAAGAAAAAACATTTCTACAAATAAGAAATAGTTCCTTTCAATTCGTCTATATATATATATTTAGATCGATATACTTGAACAAAAACTTCGTGAAAAAGATCATATAATTCAAGTAATTATAATCAATGAAATTATTCATTTTAATAAATATTTTTTTTTATTTTATTTAAGAAACTTCAACATGCTCGTTCATCATTTGATGGAAAAGATCTTCAATTAGATCTTGAAGTATTTTCTATAAGATATAAATAAATGTTTTTTTTTTTTTTCTCTCATTTTAGATTGAAATTGAACATTTTCCACAAAATCTTGATACTGAAGAACATTTTATTCGAACCTTTACTGAAGCATCTCCAGGACGAGATCAAAAATTTGAAAAAATTCTTGATAATACTCGACAAGTGAATTCTTTAGTCTTATTTATATTTTATTAAAAAAAAAAAACAAAAGTCTTTTGTTTATTTTGAAATTAGGATAATACATCAGTTATTGGAACATTTCGAGAACAATATTTAGTACGTGATCAACGAAGTGAAGAAACATTGAATGAACGAACAAGAAATATTAATGAATATGAACGTCGTATAAGTGAATTACAAACAACTATTCGTGATCGTGAACGTGAAATTCTTAATATAAATGCTAAATTACAACAAATTGAACAAACATTTAATGTAAAAAAAAAAACAAAATGTTTTTAAATATTTTCAAAAGAAAAAAATTGATTTTCTTCTATTCTTTTTTTCTAAGACTCAACAACATGAACTTGATATTTGTCAACAAAGACTTGATATTTCAAATGTTGATTTAAATATTGCAATTGAAGAAAACGAAGTTTGTTTAAAAAAAAAAAAAATAATTATTATTATTTTATTTCTTTCGTCTCTAGACTCATTTAGATAGAATTAGAACCTTAGAAAAACAATTAGAAATGTCTCAAGTAATAAAAAAAAAAAGACAAATATTTTATTAAAATTTTATATTTTAATTGTTCTATCTATATAATTTAGATGCGAAATATAACATCTGAACAAATAGCTCAATATCAAACTATGATCGATGATCTTAAAGCTAGACTTCGAAATCATGAAGATACAATACAGGTAATATATTAATGAAATTAAAATCTGTAGTAGTAAATTAGATAGATATTAACATTTAATTATAACATACTTACAATACTGCGAGTGACATTTAGAAACGAAGGCATCGTATTGATTCACTGCAAGTAAGAAAGATATATTATTTATATGCAGAAAACAAAAAACAACGCATTCACAGATATGCACATGCTTTATCTCATGTCTTTTTTCGTAAACACTATCAACACTATATGTTATTATCATTGATCATTAAAAGAGCAAAAACAAATACTGTGCGGTTTTTCACATTTGCTTCCTGTTATTAAAAAAAAAAGAAAGAAAGAAAAGTGAAGAACGGAAAAAAAGAAGGACAGAAGAAAATCTCAACTATTTTACCAATTTAAAATAGAAGAACAAGAACAGAGAAATATCTAGTTTCTAGCAGCAACAGACATTAAATGTAAACACATTCATTCTCTTCATACACAACACAAGCACATCTCTACTTTGCTATTAAATAAATAAAAAAAAAAGAATAAATTTTCTATATATTTTAGACTCTTCAACGTACTATATCTGATTCTGATAGAACATTAAGAGAAACACGTCAAAATCATCAATCTATTCAAAGTGATTATAATCGAACACAACTTCGACATGAAGTAAGTCAATGTTTTCTTTACTCTTTGGAATTTTACTTCTTGTTATTCATTTATTTTTTTTTTGTAGCAAATGGAAAATCAATTTAAAGGTGACTTAGAAAATCGTGATCAAACTATTGCTTCTTTACGTAAAAAATTAATCGATAAAGATCAAGAAATAGATGTAAATAATAAATAAAAATTTAAAACAAAAAAAAACTATCTTTATTTTATGTTTTTATTTATAGAAATTACGTCAAAGTGATATTGCTAAAGAAGCACTTATTAGTAAATTACGTTCAAAATCTCGTGAATCCGATCAAGATTCACGAAGTGAATATTCAGGAGCACGTGCTCCTACAAATGTTGCCTTAAGATTAGAAATTCAAAAGAAAGATGATGTAAAAATTAAACAATATATATTTTTCTTTATTCTTTATTTTTATCTATTATAGCAAATCGATGAACTTAAACGACAATTAGATCGAACTCGTCGAGATATATCTTCAAGTGGACGAGTATGTTTTAAAAAATTTTCAATATTCTAAACAAATTATTGAATTTAGGATGACTCGTCCACTGTTCAACATGCTCAACGAGTAGTAGTTCACCGTAAGTTATTTCTTTCTTTATTTTACATATGTTACAAGGAAGATAGGAAGAGTCCTGTACGACAAAAAAAAATTTTTTAAGCTTTGAATTTCCCTTATCCAATTTTCGAGTATCCCGCAGGATGAGACATGTGAGGTTTTTCAGAAATCAAGACTATTCATTCTTAGATTAGGCATGTGAAATTTCTTAGCGTACATTTTTCCATAGAAATAGAAGTCAATGAGACCAGCCTAATCTTGATCGCTACAGTTGAAGATAAGTTATAATCAATGGTGACCTTTCTCATTATGAGTTTTGTAATTAAGCTGACCAGATTGTAAGCTTCTTTTCATCTAGTGGATAAATAGTTTCCTTATCAACTCAATTGATTGTAATAGATTGAAAATATTGAATATTTTTTATTCCTTTGTCATTGATGGATAAACTTTATAGATGCATAGTTAGCAGTAATTTTCTTAACTATTTACTTAATTTAAGATCGTCCTCGTTTGACCAATTTTGATCATCTAAATCGTGAAGAACTTCTATATGAACTTGAAATGGCTCTACAAGACAACGAAGGATTAGTTCAACAATTAGCAAGTAAGTTTGCTTAGTTCTGCTAAAGTAGTAGAAAACAACAAAAAAAATTCAATCAAATAAATACGCGCAATCATTTCTTCTTCTTCTTGCGCTTATAAAATCATAATAAAAACTTTCTTCAATCGGACAATATAATTAATAGAAAAAACACCTAATATAACCGAATTACACAATCAACTACTTGATTTACGCAAAGAACTAGCACGTCAAAAATATGTTAATCAAGTTTTATGGCGTAAACTTGATGCATTAATTGATATTCAAGGTTCAAATACACGAGCAGAATTAGCCCTTGAATTAGCTAATTATCATGATGAACTTGAAGCATTAAAAGCTAAACAACATCGTGTCAATGATACTCGTCTTGCTATGCTCAATGCTAGTTCGAGATCATCATCAGGTGTTTGTTTAAGTCATTCGTTATTGTGTGAAGATCAATGCTTTATTTTTCTTTTTTCAAAAATTCACATAACACTACTTTTGCTTATAACTTTTTTTTTGTTCATTTCTAATTTTGATTGCACATTCTTTCCTTCTCTGTCTATAATAATTAGAATTGAATATTAGTTTATTAAATAATGATGTATTATTATCGAATACTGAATTACCATCGAATGATATTCAATCAAAAATAGAAATTTTGAAACATTCAAATCTTGAATGGCAAGAAAGATTTGCTCATCTTAAAGAAAAATATTATCAATGTGAACGTCAATCAAGACATTATTATCGAAAATTAATGAAATCTATCAAATTATTATATGATGCTGGTTCGTAACTATTATTAAATAATCTTCTTATGAGAAAAATTTTCAAACTAATTAATCATTCTTGAGTGAAAACTTCAGATACGCGGGATCATATACATCATTTAAATTCAAAGAAGCGTTGAATTTCTTGGAAAAAGTTCGGGTACTTAATTGAGTTTTGTGTAGATACTACAAATTGACAGTAGTTTTAAAATCAATACGACATCCCTTCTCAGAAGCAACTTTCGGAATTAAGGTGATGACAAGAATAACACTTAGGATGATGTAACAGCTGAGAAAAAAAGGCTAATTCTTGTAAAGGATGGCTCTCTTTTGATACGACTAAAATGTACTATATATATTAAATAGATAAATATTCATTATAATATAAAATATCATTTAGGTCTAATTGATTCTTCTTCAATTCGACAACGTCGACATAGTGCTGATGATCCTGATCGAAAACTTTCAACATTTATGAATATGATTATTGCAAATGAAAAAATTGATAATTCTTATGATATTAAAAATATAGAAGAACTTCAAGAAATAATTCGTAATCAAAAGAAATATATTGAACAATTACAAATACGTGTTCGTATAAATACACCAGATATAATTCAATCAGGAACATTACAACAATTGATTGAACAAAATAAGGTAATCTTTTTTGTTTTTTGAAAATTATTAGTGCAATCTCTAGAGAATAAAAGTATGAGATACGATTCAGAGATGTCCATCGCGGCGCGACCGCTGCCGCTACCGCCACCGCGCCGCTGTGGCGGTAGCGGTTGTTTTTTTTCAAATAACCATCGCGGTGCGGCGCGGCAGCGGTAGGTTTTTTTTGGAGAACAATGCAAAAATGCATGAATTCGAACAGAATTTCAATGTTTGCAAGTGCAAAACTATGAGATTCAACGAATCTTATCGATTGGTAACAACAGTTCTAGTCCTGAACAGTCACAGATCGTAAAATTCACAACATTATTCTAACAATCATCGCGGCATGGTTATTTTTGGTGGCGTTGCGGCAGCGTCGCGGTAGGTTTTCTGTTTTTATCACCGCGGTGCGGTAGCGGTCAGTTTTCAACCGCGATGAACATCTCTGGTTTGTAGATCCGTTGAAACATCTATTCGTATACTCTACCACTCTTTTTTTTTTAGATTTTTTATTCCTTCAAATATGAATAAAATTATTTTTCTTTTTTTCTAGAATTTAAATCGTGTTATTCAAACTTATAAAAATGAATCAAATATACTTAAAAAACAACTTGAAAAACTTAATAAAACTAGTGAATATAATCAAATAACATTACAACAATATCAAAATCTTATTATAAAACAACAAAATTATATTGAACAAATAAATAAAAATTTATATCAATACGCACAATCATCTAAGGTTTGTTAACTAACAACGAAAACTTCTCAATTAATTAATCATTTGTGAATCGAAATAATAGAAATCATATAGAATCTAATAAATTATGAATACCTTGATCCAACTGAAAAGTAACTAATCCTTTTGAAAATTTCCTTTACAAGATATTTATTAAATTCTCTATGAATATAAACTAAGGTGTAAATAGTTTAAAACATATTAAATTTAAATGTATATTAATTCCTTTTGCATCTTAAATTAACTTTTCTCATGTGTTTTTTTAGAAAAATGATCTTCCTTTAATTATATTCAATGAAAAACAGAATAAAATTGATGATTTAATAATTGATTTAAATAAAACTATTTTACAAGAATATGATAAAATAAAAAGTATGTTAATATTATTTATTTTAATTTTGTTTTATTTTTTTTTGATTAAAAATATTTATTTTATTAAATAAATTTTCTAGACAGACAGAGAAGGAAAATAAATAATAATAATGTATTGTACAGACACATTGATTTTAATAAATCACATTCTTTTTTTTCTCTCTTATACTTATTTCACTACTTTTTAATATATACATTCACCATTCTTAACTGTTGCTTTTGTTGCTTTAAACATTTACTAAGAAAAGTCGATAAGATAAAACATTATATGTGTATTTATCCACTTTCCTTTTTTTTTACTCTTAACTGTCACCTAAACATATACAATAATTAAAGATTTTGATATTTAATTGAATATTTTACTATTGTTATTATTATTATTTAGAAACATCATTGAACAAAAAAGATAGTGGTGTTGAAAGTGTTATCGACAGGTGAAATATATTTTCGAATAGAAAATTTAAATTCATGATTATCGATTGTATTTTTTTAGTACACGTTATACTTTAACACAACAAGAATATCAACGACAAATTACTGATAAAGATGATCATATTAGACAATTAACAAAAGAACTTAATGAGTAAGTGTTCATTCGTTTGTTTTTTCGATGATCCACATCAGCAAATTATCTTTTGTATTTACCTTTTCGATATATATTATAAAGATAGAAGGTTCAGATATAGAGAACTGCAAAGTGGTCCCGGGACCGAGACCGGGACTAAAAATTTTTCACACTGGTTTCGGTCAGTTTTTATGTAATATTTTTTCACGTTTATTATTTTGACAGTATTAAAGATCTGTAAATGAGATATTTTTATTTGCTATTTCTATAAAAGTCTTTGGTGATTGCGAGTCTGTCTGCAAAACTATGAGTTTTTCAAATGCACAGGTGTAATGAATCAAAATCATTTATATCAATTTTATGTATTCATAAAAGTACACAGATCGTTAAAAAAAGTTGCTCGATTTTAGAAATGAAGCTGTTGTCAAAGACCGGGAATAAAAAAAGTGATTTTGCAGGTTCCTATTCAGATATCACCTGAGAATAGGACCGAGTTTCGACAAAGTGCTTACAGCTTTTTTTATGATATGAAAACATTATTGGTTTTTTTTTTGTATGTTCTATATATTTTAATGAGAAAAAATTGATGATTTCTATTTTCATATGATTTAAGTTAATTCCTAATTGATATCATTTATATATTTTAGTTTGAAAAAAACTCATGAAACTGAATTAAATCAATATCGCCTAAAATCAGAAAAAACTCATACTGATTTAGTTGATGATTTAAATGTTAAACAAAATGATTTACGTCAAGCACGTTTACAAGTTGAATTATTAAAATCAACAAAAACTCAACTTGAACAAGCTCAAGATCAAAATCAAAGGTTTATATTTAAAAAAAAAAATTCTGTTTTTTTTTTGTTCTATTATTAAATTTTTAGATTACAAGCTGAAATAAAACTTTTACAAAATGAAATTATGAATAAAAAAGCTTTAATTGATCATTATGAAAAACAAATAAGTTTATTAGAAAAACAAATATCATCTCGTGGTAAAATATTTTATGTTTACTTAAACTTTTGTTTTTTTTAATATTTAAAATCACATTACAAAATTTAGATGGTGGTAAAGGTGAAATGACAATTCGAACAAGTGAAATGTCTGAATTATTAGAAGAAATGCGTCGTCTTCGTCATGATCTTGAACGAAGTATTCATAAACAAAATGAATTACAAGCTAAATTAGATGAAAATATTCGTCTAACAAAAGCAGCACGTGAATTTTCATTTTCTGGTCGTGGTGTTTCATATCCTGATCTTCGTATTATTGATGGAACAAGTTCAATAGGTGCTGAACATATATCATTAGTTAGTATGATGGATGAAAAACGTTCAAGACCTCTTGGATCATCAACAACAGAACTTGGTAATTAAAAATAAAATTTCTTTTTTTTTGTTTTGTTTTAATTTACTTTTTAATTAAATATTTAATTATTTTATTTTAGCAACTGAACAAATAAGTACGTTATTGTTGTTGTTGTTTTTTGTATGTTATATAATAACGAAGAATTTTCTTTTTTTTTGTTTTTAAGATCTTGGAAAAAAATATATTGTTGGTGAATTAGAAGATCATGAGAATCTTCGACGATTAATAGCTAACATTAGAATTGAATTAAAAGCACTTGAAGTTAAACTTAAAGAAAAACTTCGATCAAAACATGTATGTTTATATATATATATATAAATCGTTTTTCTATTTAACCCTTCAAGTACCATGGCTCAGCCAAAGGTAGAAATTTGATAAGATTTTATATTTAGTATAAGCACTAATTGTTATTCATACTTTTATCAAAATTTTTTAAAAATCTTCCAAAGTCATATTTGACCAATACTCACCATTCCTGTGGGGGAGCATAGATCATTCAAAAATCAGATGAGAGCTTTTGCGAAATCAACCTTAAGAGTATCACTAGGAGTGCTTTTTTACTTGATTCCAACATAAGAAATTGAAATATTTTGTAGACAAACCGAAGGACATTGCCTACTGGACTTCGTTTTTAGAAGTGAGATTATACTTCAAAATTCCATCAGGCTCACTAGCTGAGCGATTCCATTGTGACTATAATTTTCATACACGTTTATTCAACGAAGTCTTCTCTATACTACAGCCGAAACTGCACTGCGAAATCGTTTCGCGTTCGTGAATAATTGAGAATTTATGAACTTGTAAAAATGTGGGACTTATAAGCCCCACTGGTACTTAAAGGGTTAATTCATAATAGTTTTAAAATATAAAAGATTCATTAGAGACCTTACAAGAGTTTTTCGAATTCTGAGGTTAGCCCAAGAGGGAAAATGCTATATTTCAGCATACTTCCAGACTAAGGCATAACTGTACATCAGATCTGTTTAGCTATTTCAAATTTCTTATCGATCTGTGTTGTAGTATATTAGCCGGAGTCCAACTTACGTAAGTCACTTTCACCCTAAAGCCCAAATACTTCATTGCACTTCCAAAGTGAGAGTACGATGAAGTATTTGGGCTTTATTGTCAGATAGACTTACGCAGGCTGGACTTCGGCTAATATACAGTAACACAAATTGATGGGAGACTTGAAATAGCTAAATAGATCTGATGCACAGTGATGACATATTGTGGAAGTACGCTGAATTACGGTATATTCGTTTTTTCCCTCTTGAGTTGGCCTCTTAGGACATTCTTCAAAACTTAGATTAGAACCAGTCGTATAAACATATGAAACTTCAAACAAAAATATGTCGCATTTTGAACAAAATTATTCAAAGAATGAAAGTTTAGAAACTCTTCTGATATTTTTTACTACATCGATATAAGAAAAACAATTCAACTTACATATCTTCATATACAAGAGAATTTATATTGAAGTTTTATTGACTTTTTGAACATGTCACTAGTATAATCAGTCTTAGATGATGAATAATTTATCATCCATAAGCTTAATGATCAATGAATCGAGATATATGAAATCAAGTTTCTTTTATTCTCAAGTCGTAATTAGAGGGTGGATGGATGTTTGATCATTTCTACTAAATTCGACCCATAAAGGTTTGAACCCAAAAATCAAACATATGATTCATTATTAGACGGAAAAACTCTTCCTCTACAAATCTACATGTGTACTAATCTACAATCAGATACTATTGTGAAACTCACATTCGCTTTTTGTTTTGATTGAGATGATTTACAAAATAATTATCTCAAAATACTTGCAAATTATCTTATCAGGAAATCTTTCCAAATAGTCAACTTACTTTTCAACTAAGACGATGTTCATTTGATAAGTATTAATAATTATTAAATTAAGAAAACTAAGGCGCTAAGAGTTTTGACAAAAAATTAAGCTTTTGATCCGGTGCAGCTGTTTTTCAAGAACTCTCGAAAAGTGAGACTACGTTTTTTTTTTATAGACTATTTATTTATGATTCAAAGAACTATTTGTATGATATATTTTCTTGTTCTTTCTAATTAGACAACATCAATGACTGACCCATCAATAGAATGGCTTGAACATCGTTTAAATTCTCTTAATCAATGTCTTACAAGTTTAGAAGAAACTTACCGATTAATGGAATCATATTGGCCAGCATATTTACCAAATAAGAATCGTTATAATGAACATCAATTTAATGATCCACGTCTTGTCAATGAAGTAAATTTTCTTATTTATTTTTGATATTTAACAAAAAAAAAGAAAAAAACTATTTTTTTTTTCTCTTTTATTTTTAGAATAAAGAACTTCGAATATCTCAATCAAATTATATGCAAGAATTACAAAATTTAAAACAAAAATATAAAGAACAATCAGCTCATGTAGAACAATTACTTACTCAATTGACAGTAAGTATTTTTCAAATCAAAAAAAAAATTTGTTTTTCTTCATTTTTTTTTTATTTATTTTCTGAATATACAAAATATATGAGGAGAAAAAAAATAATAACATTCGTTTCGTTTGTCTTATTTAATCTAAACTTTTTGCAGAAAGCAAATCACAAAAAAGCTAATACAGACGATTATTTGGCATTGCTACGTAAGTCTTTTTTTGTATGTAAACAATCGGCCAATATATATATATGCCTTTCCCTCCCCTACACCTGTCACAATAAATTTCACTAATAGTTAACTAAATATTTAATGCATGTGCCAATTTAGTTTTTATTTCATCTAGTTAACTTATTTTTATTGTTTGCTGCATGATTTTATTATTATTATTTTTTTTTGTACGTCATCTCGAATGCTAATGTTTGTATCTTACAAACTTATTAACAGTTTATAATAATATTCACAGTTTTTAAAATAGCACTTTAAATAAACACGTTATTTTCACAGCACTCGATGACATTCTATTGGTACCAGAATAAAGAACAGCTTAGGTCGAGTAATTTTTTTTTAATATTTCCAAAAAAAGGAACAATTTAAACAATAAACAAAAAAGGTTATTACGTAGGAACTCTGTTTAAAGATTATACATTATAAATAAAACGGAAATTAACAACAAGATAATTTCTTGTTACTATTTTTGTCAAAGGTCATTATACAATCTTTTGATTTATAATAATGACTTTAAACTAAATAGTTGAACTTTCTTATTTATCTAAAAATAGAAAAGAATTATTCTTGTATGTGAATTCAAATGATGTGAAAAAATTTGAAATCATGATATTTTTTTAATAACATTCATTTTTTCTTTTTCTATTTTAGTACGGCCAACATTAGATGTTTTACAAAAAGCTCGTTCAAATATGGAACATCATTTAAAAGAGTCAAATAATATAAATAATATGTCATCAAGTAGTACTCAATCACATCATCGTCATCGTACAAATTGTTTAGATTAAATCATTAATATCAATTCGTATTTTCTTTGCTTAGTCTTAGCTTTTTTTGTTTTCCTGTTTTTTTTTTTTAATTTGAAAAAATGTGTCTTTCTCGTTTTTGAGTGCGTATGTCCATGTCTCAGGTTTTGTGCTTTCTTTCTTTTGCTTTATTGCGTTCTCTTTATATTTTTTTTTTCTTTGTCAAGCCAAAATCTTTTTTTTTTTTTTTGATAAAATACAATTATCATGATTATAGTAGAAATCAGTCAAAAAAAAAAAGAAAGAAAACCGTTTTTTTGAAGTTTTTCTTTTGCTAATAATCATGAATTTGATTATCCATATCTTCATCTGTTGTACTACTCACATTTGTAAGACTATGATCCTTATCCGATGATGTATTATGATGTAAAATTGATTGAAGTGCAGCAATATAACTTTGAGCCATTTGTAATGTTTCATATTTTGAAAAACGTCGTTGTTGTTGAAACATTGATGATGGTAAAACTGTACGTAAACGATCAAATGCAGAATTAAGACCATTCATACGACGACGTTCACGTGCATTAGCTGCAATACGACGTGTTTTTTCTATTTGAAGTATTGATGATGAGTTACGTTTAACAGCAAATGTTGTTGTTGTTGATGATGATGGTTGTTTTTTTTTATTGATCATTTTTGTTGTTTGTTGTGCTTGTGCTTTCATTTTTTCCATTTTAACAAATATATTTTGAAAAAAAATGAAGAATGACTTGAAGTTATTGCCATCAGTCGATTCTATTCTATGTTATAAAAGAAATGTGTAACAGTTGGAAAGCGAGTAAGTTAAAACAACAGGAGACTCGTGCATTGAACTAATTAATATGTCAATTTCATCTAGCACGATATAGTCTTCAATAGAAAATTTTTCTTAAAGAATGAACAAGAAAAAAAAAACGAAAGGTTAAATTATCAGACAATCAATTGTTCATATTCATGTTTCATTCAAATATTCAATATTGCACAGTTGGAAACTGTCAACATGTTAAGAAAGGCGGAGTGATTTTGATTGATTGATTGACTGATTGCACAGCAGGATATATTTTTCGTGTGTGAATATCAACTGAAGAAAAATATTCATGAAATACTTCTTTTCGATCATAAGACAAATATTTTCGTGATATTATTTTTTGTTCATTTTTCAATATGAAGAGATTTTTTTTCGAATATAACTTTTGGTTTCAGAAATGTGAAAATATAAAAATCAAGAGTTTCAGAATAATCATTCAGATATGATTGATGTGAGAATCTTTGAAGGTGTCAAAACACTTTTCGACGTCGAGATATCGAAAAATTTTACTGTGCTTCTCAATAAAAAGTTGTAGTTGCTTTAATTGATTTTCTACTTCAAACTTTTGTGGAAACAAAGTTCTCAAGAAATTAGTTGATTGTGGAAGTTTTAAGTGTTCTAATATTTTCTTGTGGTGGAAATGTAAATATATCAACAACGTTTACTTTTACACATGCGAGAGTTTCGGATATTGGATATTTCAAGAACGGAAATACTTGCTTCATGGAACAATCTTGTTTAAACCTTTATTTGTGCAAAAGTTCATAGTCAACATGACTTGATGAGAAAATCCATTCGACTGATTAACTTATTTTGCTTCCAGTGCAGATAAAAATTCTGAAAGAGTTCGTACTATAAAGTCATTCTTCTCGACTTAGAGCCATGTTACTGAACTTTCAACTTATTGCAGAATATCACAAGAAAAATCGGAACGAAGAGTTTCAGTTTGAAATTCATCCTAACAACAGATCTTGAAAGTTTCAGCTCAAACATATGTTTCTCTTTTGAGATAATATGTTTGTAATAAATGTTACTTTCACATAAGAGCTCAAAAAAGAAGCCAGTTTTTCGACATATGATATCTTCACAGAGAAGCATCCGTTTGAACTGAAACTTTCAGAACGTCATAAAGATCATAAGAGCTATTATTGGAAAGAATCAGTAGTGGAAACTTCTTGTTGAGATTTTTCTCATAATATCCTGAAATAAGTTGAAGGTTCAGTAAAATGGTCATAAATTGAGAACAAAGGGTTAATGGAACGAACTCATTCAGGATTTTTATCTATACTATGAGCTCAAACTAAGATTGTCAGTTAGATGCATTTACTCATCGGGTCATGTTGACAATCAACTTTCGAGTGTCGACTTCAAACTTTGCATAAACAAAATCCTTAATGATATTAGTTCATTGAGTATGGTGTAAGTTTTCTACTATCTTCTATCCTGAAATATTCGAGATTCTCTCATATGTAAAAGTACATTTTGTTCATATAACTTATAGCTTCAGGAAGAAAATATTAGAAAAGCTAAAATAAATACAATCAATTAATCTAATTAAAAACTTTGTTTGCATAAAACTTGAAGTTCAAAGTCAATTTAAGGATATCAGAATTTTTTTTGTTGAAAAACTTAGTAAAATTTCGATATTTTAAGAAGAAAAGGCCCAATAAATCAAACCATTCTAGACTTTTCTATCATTCACAAATACTTATCAAATAAACATTGTCTCGGTCGAAAATTGATCTGACATTTGAAGTAATTCCCTCATGAACTCATGTTGCAAAACTATTTTCCATAGAAATTGGTACAGATTGACCTGATGTAGGTCACCAAAATGTTCACTGTTGACAAATGTATCATTATTATACCAACTTTTATAGAGAAATATTTGTTCTTTCATGAGAATTTTCACTTCTATTAATTCAATGTTGTCAAATTTCTATAAACGAAAAAACGAACGAATATTTTGTCAAGTTACATTTCGATAATTCATTATTAGATTATAATAATCTGTACTATATGCTTTTATAAATAATAAATTGTTTATTCATTTAACAAGGTTATTGAATACGTTTTATTTTATTTTTTTCTTAATACGGATATTTGTTTTTTGTTATTAGAAATGTAATTTCAAGACATAGTCGACTTATATTCCATAAGAACAAAGAAAAAGGAAATGTTGTCGATATAGAAAAAAAAAAAGCAATGTTATGATTTTATATTGCGTCTTTATCGTAGAATCAATCTGACAAGAAAAGAAAAAGAAACATAAAAAAAAGTATCAAAGTGATGTATTAGTTTTTTTTCTATTTTGTTCCGAAGAATTTCTCAATCGTATGATTGTATTTCAAAAATATTCTCAAGAGAAAGAGAGAGAGAAATCATCTTATTTCAATATATATCGTTTAAACGATCTATTTTAGAAAGAACAACAATTTAATCATTCTTATTTGCACTCGATTACAATCATTTTCATAGAAAATAATATGAAAAAAAAAAACTGATATTAATCAGACAAGACAACTATCTCATGTGTGACTAATTGAAAATTCAAGTATTGACATATTCAATAGATCATCTACGTTTTTTTTTCTTCGACATCTAAAATATTCTTTCGTTTAGTAAGTATGCCTTGCAGACGTGTTCTGATCTTTTCTCGGTTTAGAAACGAATGATGAGTGCTTTCTTATGTTTCTTTTTGTACGCGTTTCCTTATTCAGCAACCAATCATTTCTATACTATTGATTCGTTAGTTATATTGATTCACATTTATTTTCAAGACAAAACGAGTGTATTCATACGCTCTGTCAAGTATCCGGTGAAGCGGAAAAGTCGATATGTAAGTGTTCCGGTTTCGAATATATGCGTCGATGTTGAACTACTTCAATAGTCTCTTATCATTTCATATCATGAATTTTCTTTGTATTATTATTCGACATTTTTTTCATCATAAAAAAAAAAAAAAAATTTTGTCAATTAAATAAAACAAAATAGGAAATTTGTTTTTTTTTTTGAAGAGAGTTTTTAGAGTTTAACATCTGTTTTATATTGAAAACTTGACAATATTTAATATTTTATTCATAATAGTATCAATAAAAATTATCTTTCTGGTCTTTGTTAAGAAAAAAAACAGATAATTATCAGTTCTATAAGATGATAGAACAGATACTATGAACTATTTAGTATCGTCATAAAACGCTTTTTATTTCTTTTTGTTTTACAATAACAAAAATGGATATAGTGGTATTACGGTAATTAGATTTTCACATCGAACTTTGATTGTTTTGCTTTGTTTTTTTTTTCTTTTGATTTATCGAACTATAATAATTCTATTTTTATTTCTTATCATAAGCGAACGCGCATCGACTAATTGCGTACTATTCGGATGCAGTTAGTATAATAAAAAGAAATTACCAATAGAAATGAAATGTTATTTTTGACATATGAGGTAGAATTCAATAATACTCTTTATCTTAATTGTTCGTTTGAATATACTGTTATGCGTTTTGTTTTTAGTTTAATTCTAAAGACGTAATCACATTAATATAATGTAAATGAGCTAAAAGTTCTATAGTATAATCACTCTTGTGTAATATCAATCAAAGAGTTCAAAGCTTGACTTTTTATGATTATTGCATTTTTTGTTTGTAATGAGTTCATCAAACTCTTATAAATCGATCATTGGTATAAAAAGTCTGAGAACCCCGACTTCTTAACCTTCTATCTATTTATACTATTGCTTTTGTCTTTTGTCTTTTATTTATTATTCATAGTTAGTCCTTTTATTATTCTACAAATCATACATAGTGACAGAGAGAGAAAGAGAGAAAGAAAGAAAAATAAGCGAACGAATGATGAAGTTTCATGGGTAATTAGGATTGTTTTATTAGTTTCTGTATATCGCGAAAAATATTCTATAGAATAGAATAACATAGTCGATTCATACTTAAGATAGAGTAAATCGATCGATTGTAATTAATCAAAGGTAAAACAAAAGCGGTAAATGAATAAATTCGAACAATAGCAGGTAAAAAAAGGTTGTATAAATATTGCAGTTATCATACATAAAAATCTAGGTTTTCATAGAGCTAATAGTATGTTCGCTCAATTATTTTCTATTGCTTTTATTTATTAAATTATTTTATTTCAATCGATACTAGCTACAACAAAAAAAAACAATGATATAAACATCAAA